TTTCTTCTTTGAGGCCATTAGATACATGTTGATTCAATTGTGCTTATAAGAAACACATTGATTCATAATATGTCTCATAATCTCATAATAAGACTTATGCTAATTGAGCCATTGAGAAGTTCCGCCACTGACAGACTGTGGTAATTGGTAGATTTCCCAACATCTGTATGCTTGCCACAAGAAACACATAACATCTGCAGTGCTTCTAGACAGCTTCTGGAATATGAGTACAAAGCGCATTGCAACATTATTTTGTCCTTGCCTGTGTAATGGATTTTTGTATAAGAGAAAAAAGATGAAGACAACAGTTGGAAAATATGGGAATGCTATAACTAGAAATCACTGTCAATTAAAACTTGGGAAATGATTGCAGAGCAATTCCTAGCCTGGAAGTATTGTCAGATGGACCTTTTTTTTTGCTGATGTGTTTGTGTGTTAAGCAGCTTTAATATTCCTTCTTTAAGCTAAGGATATCTATATTTTTAACTCCCTCGGTCTGATGTGTGGGTTGCAAAAGATTCACAGCAGGAAAGAGACTTTTCAGAGGCTTCCCTACTAGTATTTACATCATCTGCAGCTCTTTATGGGCAGAGAAGATTCTCACAGATGGCTCCACCACCCACTTGCCAGAGGAAAGTCTGCCTTTGTGTACTGCATCCTGAGCTCTTGTTACAGCCCTTGCCAGTTGGAAAGAAGAATAAAGCAACCACAGTCCCAAAGCGGCAAGTTTACACTATACCAGTGGTGGCGAACCTATGGCACGGGTGCCAGAGGCGGCACTCGGAGCCCTCTCTGTGGGCACGTGCCACTGCCCCAGCCTTGCCTCCCCCCGTGACCCCCTCCTTTCCAGCAGCCCCCCTGAAGGAGACTCGCCCTCGAGCGTGGCCCACACAGAGCAGCGCAGCCAAGGACATGGCAGCCAGGCAGCGTAGTCAAGACTCTGCCCTCACACCCCATCATGCAATTGATGCTGCAGGGCGCGGGCAGAGGGTGTGGCTGCCATAGCGCTGCTGGGCTGCCTGGGCGATCTGCGGTGGGCCCTGGAGGCAGTGAGTGGTCCTGTGGGCAGGCGGGGCAGGGGATGGGGGGGCAGAGCGGGGGCGGGCAGTGGGGGTGGAGCGGGGGCGGGGCCAGTTTTTGGGCACTTGGTCTCTAAAAGGTTCGCCATCACTGCACTATACTAAAGCTGCCATGCAATTTTTTGTGTCTTCTTTCATTCCCAAAAGGTTTTGCTAAATGCAGGCTGAAACTGCAACTCTGTCAGGCCAAGATGCTTCTACACGTGCAGTTGCATAAGACCAACTACTATGTATTGCCTAAGAAAATCAGAAGAGGTGTTCTGATGCCAGCATTACAATTAGAAGACGTATATTTTTTTAACTTTGCTGTAAGACAGGGGTCTGCAATCTTGACAACTTTAAGACTTGTGGACTTCAGCTAGTCTGGACACAGAGACTTGTGTACTATGCTGGCTGAGGAATTCTGGGAGCTGAAGTCCACAAGTCTTAAAGTTGTCAAGGTTGCAAACCCCTGCCGTAAGCTATGCTCACTCTTGTATAGCAGCACTTTGATAATCTTCTCTGGGCTTTGAACCTAAAGCAGGATTAGGATAGGCAATCATCAAGGAATTTTAAAGTAGTCTGAGAGACTGAAAAAAAAAACCCTTGAAGAAGTTAAGGTAGTGGCAATTCACTTCAGTACTGTTACAAAGTAAAATGCATGGATACGTTCCTTAGTTTTAAATAGGGACAATTTTTAACGATTTTAAAGAGCCACAGCTACCAATATTTGGGTTTTAATTGGTTTTTAGTAGGGGAAATTTTTTGTATGATGTTTTAATACGCTGTGAGCCGCCCTGAGTCCCATGGGGAGAAGGGCGGCATATAAATCCTGTTAAATAAATAAATAAATAAATAAATAATTGAGTCTGACTAAAGAGCATTCTTTTTAATGTTTGCTTCTAGTGGTCCTCTGGGTATTTCTGGAGCCCTTTTTATACCCTGTCCACAAACCAGATAAAGCAAGCAAATCCCATTTATTCCCGCACAAATTTAAACTTATATGTAACAATGCACATAAAAAAATCAGGTCAGTTTTGCTGGAACAGAGTTGGTCCATGATATGCTTTCTTTTAATCTAGTTTTGTTCCCTGTGCACTCTGTTAAAGAACATATTCATCACAGAAAGATGTTACAAAAAAAAGGACAGGCTTCCAAATTTTTAAGTAATTATTATGTGCTCTCTCATGTCTTGCTAATTTGCAAATTTTATGTAGTATGCCTGGAAAGTATCTTGGGTCAAAAAGCTGCACAGACTGCTTATATTAGCCAGACATAATTGAAGTCTCCTGGATGATGTTGGGCCATTGAATTGCTTTTTAAGCCTCTCAAAGCGGCTGCTTGATATTTGTCAGACTGGTTAATTTAGTTACCTGATGGAAATAGGGCTCACTGCTCTCCAAGGTTTCTCTTTGTTACCATAACAGAAAGTGGGGCATACATTTGAAATAATAAACAAATCTTGAAAATCATGCTTTCAATCCAGTGTAATTCAAAATCGGACGCTTAAACAACCTGCATCGCTTCAAACCCAAGTATTTGAAGGATTATATAATCCCACATGAGGGAGCCAGTCTGGACACAGAGATAATCTCTTCTGAAAGTCCCTAGTTTCTGGAAATGAGATAGATGGCAGGGAAACACTATGGCTTTTCAACTATTGCGTCTCTCAGTTGGATGTTCTTCCGAGACAAATTCACCTGGCATCCCAATTTTTATGTTTTTGATACCATTCAAAGAGCTTTTCTTTTTTTCAAAGTCTTAGTCTCTTCACCAGCACTGATTTCATGCAAGAATTTTGGCTTGTGGTTTCCATTCCTATGTGCTTTTTATTTTGTTGTCATCTGTTTTTACCGTCTGGCTGATTTAGTTACCTGATGGAAACTGGGCTAGCCAGAGCACCACCCTGGAGAGAGCTATGTGGATAGATAGAATTTTTTAAAATCATCTGAAATTTAAAATGCAAAATAGTACTACCAAGCTTCTTAATTCATAATTAAGAAGACAGTGTCCTAAGATAGTCAAAAATAGCTGGCTGAAAAATGCTGATATTTCTGTCTTCGGGTTTGCTTATCTGAGGACGGGACATCCTTCCAGGATAACATGCACATCCATTAAAAAGATAAAATCTCTCTTGAGTCATGCTCAATCCCTAGTGATTATATCAACCAATCCAAAGCTTCTTTTAGGCCTTCACTCTGGGGGTAGCAATATGACTTGAAGATTTCTTTACAGGTCACATGTTAGGATCATGGACTGAAACCAATTTGCAGAGCTAATTCCCATCAATATAAGCCACTGGCTGTTTCTTCAGAGCAGAAATGCAGAGCCTCTTCTCAATGCTTAAAAGTAATGTTTTCTGACTTGTATCATTCTGTTCAACCACGCCTTTGGTTTCAATGTAGTTATATCTGCCCATTCCACTCATCTACCGTATACTATGGTGGGAATGTCCCTTCCTGTCACTGCCATTTTATCCTGGGCTGCTCACCCTCCCGCCTCCTCTTACAGGGACCAGAATGGTGAGTTTCTGTTTCTTTTCTTCATTTCATTTTTTTTTTGCAATTTCACAGGCAGAATGGTGAAATGTGACCATTTCCCCCCCCCTTACATAATTTGTTGAACTTGACAAGAGTTCTGTCAGTTTTCCCTTGCAGCCAAGTGAAGCAGGAATGATAAAAATTTAATGTTTTCTTTTTAAGTGGTGGCTGCACCAGATAGGAAAATGAGGGGGAGTCAATGAGGGTGGGGAGCTCATAGAAGAGGTCCATCAGTAGAAACTACATAACCTTAAATTCTGCTGCCCACAATACAGAAAGCAATCTGCATGTATGGTCCTGGAATGGGAGAAGGGATAAAGAAGGTAGGAATCCACCAATCAGGGCTAGTAGTAACTACAATCCAATGAGACACCTGGTCATCATTATAACCAAAGAGGACGAAAAGTCAAAATTTGGAAATGGATTTCTTAAGCCTGCTTCATTTCCAGGGAGTATGTACAGAAGACCTAAGCAGCTTAAGGCTGCAGTGCAGAAAAACCCTTAGTGTATGTGTATGATTGCTCTATAGTAGCTAAATCAATATTAAGAATAGTATTTTTGTAAACTTTGGGCTCTCTCTTTTCTCTGTATAAGAACAGAGCACTAACTGCCTATAGGAATTATTCAAGTTACAATATGAACATAGATTTTAATTGTGTTACTTGTTAATAACTAACCAGAACTGAACAATTGTGCCACTTGGGTGAAACTGACCATTTCACCCTGCAGGTTAATGAAGATAAATAAACAATATATGAAACAGGTTAAAAAAAAAAAGACAAGCAAGATTGCACCCAAGTGTTGATGTTGCCATGGGACATGTGAAAGTGGCTATGAGCCAAGTCCATAACTTCCCTGCTACTCAGACATCAATTATATTAAACTCAACCACACTTTGTGTGCCTTGGATGGAACCAATTGTGGAGTTGGAGAATGTGTGAAAGATACACACACATATACAGACACACACACACACACACAAACAAAGAGGGAGGGAGGGAGGGAGGATCATTGAAGGGAGTAATACCTTGGTTCCTGGGACAGAGGCATTCTTCTCCTGAATTTGATTCTTTACCTATAACCTTTTGTTTTCAGGCCTTTGGACAGAACAATTCTGCCATTCTAATGATAGAATATATTACTAATCAAGGTAATATGTTTGTTGCTCTCACACAAATTGACGTAACTTCAACATCATAAGCTGCATGATTGGGAAGACATTCATACAAGATGCTTTGAATCCCTGTATGGCAATATCACAGTGGGGAATTTTGAAGACTACGAACTCTTCAAGATTCCCACAGAAAAACATTAAGTTCATTATCATAATGGCACTATTCCAAAGAGCTCAGGAATGCTGGGGCACATTGCACTCTAGCTCTGTGGGATTCCCTTCTTTGTTTCCATTGTTATTCTTCAAAAAGTACTTGGAAAAGCTCAGCATAGAATCTTAACGATTTTGTTCAATAGCGGTGACTAGTACATGATATTTCAGAGGAAGGCAAAATCTTCTCATAGTCCTAGATGATATGCTTCCTCATCCTTGGATGAAACTTCATGTCAGGCTATGAACCTTGACTGCTCCATTACAAAACTGACCTGATTTTCGGCCATTCAGAGTTGACAGTGGGAATGTCCTATAAATTCATGAGTCAGTGGTGCTCCATAATGCTTGCAGAGATGATGACATCATTATAGGAAAGAGCTTCTGCCAGATGACAGAACCACAAGACTGTGTAGCTACATGGAGCGAGAATTTGTTGTTTCCAAAGGACACTATGAAAGGAATTAGAGGAAAGCAAGGCAGTGCTGCTTTGAGTTGGTGAAAGAAAAGTGTCAACTTTTCACATACTGAAGACACTGGCCTAGCTTTAAAGCTACAGAGCCATTTCTTGGTCTGTAGATCACTATGAATGGTGAGCATCCAATGACATGCCTGCTAGGAATCAGAGACACATAATGCTTCTACTGCATCACTCAAACCCTGATTCACTCCACCTACCGCTAGAAGGCAGTTTTTTACCACAATGGTGGAGCAAGCACATCGTGGAGTAGGCATAGGTGGTAAACTTTCCCATTTATTTTTTCCAGGATGAAAGGCCTCAGCTGATTCCAGAACAGTTGGCTGATTTCCTGGTTGAGAGAAATATGATTACAGACAGTTAGAAAATGCACAGAATTCCAAAGCCATCCAATGAACATTCTACTGATTACTGGTTTTAAAAAGAATATACAAGTATATGTGTTTGTGTGTGTGTGTGTTTGTTTATTTATGCACATTTGGGGCAAATATATCCTTTATAATAGTGTTTTTCAAATTTGGAAACTTTAAGATGTTTCAACTCCCAGAATTCCTCAGCCAGCATAATTGAGCCTGACTCGGGAATTCTGTGAGCTGAAGTCCATACATCTTCAAGTTCCTGAACCTGAACAAACTGCTATAGGAACTGTAATTTTTGGAGAGATTATTGCTGTTTCTTAACTAATTGATTTTGAGAAACCACAGAAAATAAGTTAAATCAGCTGGATCTGTAGTGCTGTTATTCTGCTAGACAGAAAACAGAATCGATTACGTGCCATATTGAGTACAGAGACCAGTTTGAAAAAAAGGTGATTTCCCTCCCTCTGCTTTGATATGAATACAGACAAACACACACACACATTTCTTACCCCTGAATATAGATTTGGTTGTCTCTCTCATTTTAGAGAAGAAATTGATTTGTTTTGTACTGTATCATATTCAGAGCTGTGCAAATAATTATAATTTAAACATTTCTTCAGATAATTTGGCTCTCATAGCTGTCCATAGTATAAGCTTATAAAGATTCATGTGGATTTATTTTTTCTTCATTTTAACTATTTTTTGTTTTCCTATTTCAAATCTTGTATATCTCTCTTCCCAGACACCCAACTTCACACAATAAAAACATATATTCATTGGTTCATTTTGTAAGTATGAAGTAAGTAAGTAAGCTATAATGGATTTTAGTTCAGCATTACTAAGTTTTATTCCTGATAATTGTAGAGATAAAGGTATGCTTGGCACCTGGACATTTATAACAATACAAAGTTCTTCTAAGGAAATTCCATCCATCTTTCTTTTTTCTTTTTTCCTATTTCTCTCAATTATTCTCTCTAGAATAATCATTTTTTCTAGTCCATCATCTGCTCTCTTGGACATATTTATCTGAGGTTTGTGACTTTCTACTCCTAGATCACTACCCTAGTTTTCTAACCTGCATTTTCTGGGTGTCATGTCTTAGGAAGGAACTCAGAGAATCCATGATGGCAAAGCTTTATACTTTCCCAGACTAACTGCTTCCCTATTAGCTCCATAGGCACGGTAGAGGCAGGGGGTTGCTAATGAGAGCAGGACTCCTTGGAAAAGTTGTGAGGTAGACTCATGGACAGGTCTATTTCCTACTTGCAATATAAATAAAACTGGAAAATATAGTTCAAACTTTGAAGGGATGGGGGGGAAATCCTCACCTAGTCCTCCTGCAACAACAATTCTTCCTTTTAAACAGCCAGAAATGAAATCTGCCCGTCGTTTCTTCAGGAAAAATGAGCGATCGATCTTCATCCAGCCTCCTGAAAATTAATCTGATTCATTATTAAATGATCATGGCATTTTTCATAGCTAATAACATGCTAGAGGTCTATAACTCAATAGATTTTTTCCACTGATATATTCTGAGTGCTCATATTTCCTTCCCCCCCTTATACTTTTTTTACTGTTTGATACAGATATGATCACCAAGTCTTTCAGTTGTATTCCCGTCCTTTGCCATTGTAACTTCTGCAGAATGCAATGATGTACATATATGGATATTGCTTTCTGGGAAAATGATTATGGTAATACGGTTAGTGCAGCAATGTAGGGACCTGTTCAGTCAACCCCACTGAATATATATTATTACCCGAAACATTCTACTCCTTTGAGGCAAGCCTCAGGAAAGATACCAGTTTGTTGAGGAATGGAGAGAACCAACTTATGCTGGGTTTCTTTTTTTAATAATAATTTTAATAAATGGTTTAGAAACAACAATAAAATAATGCAAACTAAAAAAGAAAAGAAAGAAAAAAGTGCAAGAAGGCAAAAGTAAAAAGAACCTCCCCTTAAGAAAGGAACTTCTTACCCTCATCACAACAAATATAAACATTTTTATAATCTCATCTTCTCTTAATTAATAAATATAAAACTCTTCATCTCATAACCATCTCTTAGCAATAAAAAAAGAAGTCACTGCGGATTATACTCCACTAGTCATTGCCAACTATAATAATAGGTCAGTGTTCATCTCCGTTTCAAGGCCATTGAGCCAGTGTTGTCCGAAGACATTTCCGTTGTCATGTGGCCAGCCTGACATCACAGAGCGCTTTTACCTTCCAACCAAAATGGTGCCTATTTATCTACTCACATTTGCATGCTTTCAAACTGCTAGATTGGCAGGAGCTGGGTCGAGGACAGGAGTTCACCCCATTGTGCGGTGCTCAGGTCTCGAACCTGGCCTGCTAACTTTCCAGCCAACAAGCCCAACATCTTAACCATTGAGCCAGCATGCTGCCACTTTTTCTTAATAATAGGCAAATAAAAAAAGTAACATCTCCTTATCCAATTACCAGTAAAATTCCACACAGAGCTCTAAAATATTATCATTGATTAACATATAAAAGTTAACATTCCACATCCAACTCGTCCTGGTTTTTTGCAAATTTGAAGCCTTTAGCATCAGGAAGCATGAAAATCTGAAATTCAAGAGAATCTCATTAAAGGCTGCTCCTCTCCATTAATTCAATAATATGTGGGGTCCTCTCTCTAGTGAGCAGTTACTGTTCACAGTAAGATGATAAATTGCTTCACTTCTCTGCAGACCCATCTCCTCCATTAAGTTAAAACTGACTTCTGGACTTATGAATTTCACATAAAAGTTTTACATCTGAACTTTAAAGCTTGATATAGATTTAGGGTCAATTGGCAGTACAATTGGAACAATAAATTTTCTGGCACCTGGAGAGAAACTATTTTTGCTATAAATAAGATTCTTGAAATCCTTGAAGGGCCAGTCACCAAACTGAATAAAAATATTTGCTACTTAAACTATTACATTTGTTGTCACATTAACTAATGAAGACCTTACAATGCAAACATTTGGCTTGAAAACATAATTTAGATGACATGCTTCTCAAATATTTAGGGATCAGTATACAACTTGGGTTGTGAACTCAAAAGCAGCAATCCAGAGTTTTTACTATTATACTATTATACTTAATTCCCTTATTACATCAGATAGGCTGCTTTTTACTTTTGTGTGATTTGCTAGAGACAAATAGGTGGAATCAGAATGGAAGTACATTTTATTCTAATTAATATTAATGATAAATACATTTCATATAGTTATTCTTCATGTATTTAGCAATTTTCCTTTCTGCCCAGTTTGAAATTTAATAATGGAAATTTGGCAGTAATTTCTTTAGGATCAATAGGACTTGTTGTTCTGTCCCAGCCTACGTGAGTCCTTATTAACTCACAAGGACCAACCCCTCTTTTAACAAGTAGGCTGAAAATGCAGAAAAAACAAACCTCTTTTATTAATTAGGTATAGACCTGCAAAATGTCCCAAAAGCAAAGGCAAACAAAACACGATGCAAACAGAGAATTGTTCAAAGACAAACAGAATACGATGCAAATGGAGAATTGTTCAAAGGCAAACAGAACACGATTCTAACAGAAAATTGTTCACAAGCAAGGCAAACAGAATCTGATTCCATGAAACTTGAATCTTTTGCAAACGGTTGCCTTCAGCAACCAGCACCGCCCACACCTTCCCTTTTTATTATGCAGCCCCAAGGCATGGCTTCTCAATGCCTTCTCCTCCTCCCTTGGAGTCACCCCATTGCCTCCCTCTGTCCTGCTCTTGTTGCCTGTCTGTGTTTGCAAGCATCTATGATGTCTTCCAGTTCTGAGTCCTCAGAGTCCGACTCAGCTTCCCCGCACAGCTGAGTCTCAGCCTGAGCACGATTAGAGGGGCCAGGCTCTTCATCAGATTGTAAGTCCTGGAGCTCATCAGAGCCTTCCTCTGACTCTGATGGCTCTCCAGGCCCCTCCTCCTCCTCCTCTGATTCCCCAGACTCAGCTGTCGGGTCCAGTGGCTGGCACAGACTCACAACACTTGTAGAGGTTAAATGCAATTCAGGGAACACAGATTGTACACCCCATTATAAGGCTTGGGTAAGCGAGCTTCAGTTCATTAGGTACATACAGCCATTTTTTATTCTTTCAAAATTTTCCCAAATTATACTGCTGAATATACATAGCAAACCACAGGAGAAATGGAGGCAACATTTTACTAGTTATAAAAAGTGTATTATCAAAAGGTTGTTCTCTCCCCCCCCCCCGCCTGAATGTAGCCACGTTGGAATTTGGAGGCAACCGTAGAAGAACCCACCTTGCTCGATGTCAAACACATCCACATTTTTCATGAACTTGGGCTGACGGTACAATCTGCCCTGCCGCAATCCTCCAAGGCTAAAGATGTTGTTCTCTGTGCAAACAAAGGTGGAGAAAGCCCTTTTGCTGGGAATATTGGGGAACTTGGTCCAAGATCTGGTCTCAATATCAAAGACCTCAAAGGCATTCACAGCATATTTGGACTGCCTTCCACCTTCAGTAAAGAAAAGCAGATACTGTAGTGAAAGATCAGCTTGGCTTCATACCAATATTATTTTTTCATCATTTTGAAAGCAGTAGGGAATGGGGAACTGAGGAAAATCGGGTAAAGAGATGCTACCACAAGTGAAGGGAAAGGAACTCTCTTGGCTACTAAAAAACCAACTCAGTTTTATGTCCTTTTCTTCCTCATCCTGTCAGGAAATAACAAGATCTGACTACCTATGAAATCTTTGGAAAAAAGAATTACCCCTCATTATGTAATTTTCTCTGGATAGCCACTCAGCTGAACAGATTTTATAACAACCTTTCAGTTATAAAGCTAACTTACCACATGGCACAACTGATAATTATGATTACTCTTAGACTGTTATTCTAGTTCATAAATCAGACAAACCTCTGTCTGTATGTTTGGCATAAAGTATGCAGTGGTGCAAGATAATACATTTATTCCATAGATGTCCTACCAATTGTGCTTCAAAAGCATTGCATATTTTTGTCAAGGTTACAGTTATGGTCTTTAAGCATGTCTTGCCCATTTTATATACTGGTGTGTGGGGGGGGGAGGGTTGCTATTGGTGGTGTTATTCTTTTATATTTACAGTTGGCCTTAACCAAAATGATTATCAAGGCATGATGAGTAATCACTCCCTCAACACAGAACTGGAATAAGAAATGAGAGGGAGCTGTCAGCACATCTGGGAGAGTTTTAGATTTGTACAAAATATATCTGCTTTAAAATCACCCAAGAAGGATTAAGCACACTTAGCAGCTGCAGGAAGAATGAACAAAAGGGAGCCAGAAGAGCTCTTTACTGCAAGTTCTGTTTAGGTAACTACTTTAGTAATTTGTTAAAAAAAAAACTCACTTCCCCTTCTATCGTTCTTGCTCTCCCCTTGCAGGAAGCTTGATAACTACTGTCTGCCCATTTTCAAACTGGACAACTTTAAGATGTGTGGACCAAGTCACAGATTTCCCCAGCCAGCTCATATCTACTCATGCCTCAGTACTCAGTACAGTGTGTTAGCTCTGGTGTAGATGTGAACAGAATTTAGTGTAGATGTGAACAGAATTTACTCTCATTCTAAGACCATACTGAAGTGTATAAAAAGTTGATAAAATTTGTTGCTGTGAATTAAGAAGACAACTTATTTACTCATCAAAATCCACAAGACAGAGATTGCCCATACTGCAGATAGATGGCATCATGTTTAGAACTGCCAGGGGAAAATGTGAGATTTTCTGCCTCAGGGGCCAAGAACTAAACTTTGAGTATTATATATCATGACTTATGAGGAGGGTGATAGATTTCCTGTTCTATGCAGGTCACAGAAGACCCTGGCCCAACTTTGGAAGCTTTAGAACATACTTTTTTTTTTGGTCTTAGAATGAGAACAGCTAAATCAAAATAGATATCATTTCACTCTGCTCAGAGATAGCTCTTTGATTTAATCAAAGCGGTATGTTGGGTGTAGGGGAGATACTGCAGTCTCCAAATGCTTTTTATTAGCGATATTATCAATGTTTGAATTCAATTTTCTGTGTACCAACCTTCTGAATTGATAAAATTATTGACTCTTGGGGCAATAGATGTAGTGAGAATGAAGGGGGACTCTCACTTCCTTGCCTAAAGTTGTCCCCCCTCCCAGATTAGAACTAACTTTAGAGAGCCAGTTTGATGTAGTGGTTAAAAGCACTGAGCAAGGAAAAAGGAAACCATGAGTTTTACTGTTGTCTTAAGTAGCTGAGTTCTAGTCAATTTCTCTTAACCAAAGGAAGAAAGCAAAACACTTCTAGAAATATTGTCAAGAAAACTACATGGATTTGTTCAAGCGAATAGCAGGAGTCAAGACTAGCTTAGAGGTATACACACAGTATTAATATGAAGTCTACCTGATATAAATTATTCATATGTTTTATTCTTTCCTCTGTTTCTTTTGGACCCTAGAGAAAAAGTTGGAGATAAATTGGCCTGGCCCCTTTTGAACTCTGAATCCAAGAGGCAAGCTTATCGACTTCAATTGTCTTCCTTGTCCATCTCGCTTTTGCAGCTATTCTCTTTTATTCAAGTTACTTTGTCATTTCTGTATCTCTTCTGCCTGTTTTGCTAAGGATCAGTGCCTACACTTCAGAAAACTTTGGAATTTACAGCTTCAAAACTACATAATAGTGGAACACATTCAGAATCTCTGTGCATTCAGTGAACCCTTCATTCTTGCATATTTCTGGTCAGTTACAAGTAAAATTACCAGTGACATACTGTACATCTAAATGCATTGCAATTCTATATGTAGGTTTCTCTAAGTTCCATCAGATCCAGTTATAATACTTCCTAGACCTTAAAGATAACAATGAAGTGTTACAATGTCCAGCTGCTGATACTGAACTATTGGATACTATGGTCTGAGTTGATGACATGCTTTCATGAATGGATGAGACAGTTGCTTCAGGCAAAGAACAAGATGATTCTGTTCAGTCAAGCAGCAGTTCAATGTAACTATTTCCATGTGAACAACTATTCACATATACATTTGCACAAATTCTGCAGTTAGACTTTTAGAAAGTAATTGAAAGCTATTTTTAAAAACTCCCAATATCTATTTATCTTAGAGGGTTATATTATGAATGAGATGGCTAACACCACCTTGTATCTTTGTGCAACAAGGTTAGCCTCACCCGTGTGGTACAGTAGTATTCCATGTTCCTTAAAAATGGTCTCCCTGCACTGCAAAAGAAGCTTTAAGATACTGCAGCCTTCATTGAGGTTATTGGCTATTTAAAAGCTTTGAGGGTAGAGCCTTCCAAAATTGCTAGCCATCTAAATCTGGGTCCTGGGAGGTGAGGAGGAGACAGCATTTATGGCCTGAAGGTTCCCAATAGTTTAAGATAAAAGGATGAACAATGCTAAGGCTCTCTACACCCATGAAGTTCATATCGAACTTTCTGTAGTTATGATAGAAATACAAATTCATTTCAGGGAGGACAATAACGGGATGATAGCACTGTCTAAAAGCTCAATAAAATGTAAGAATGTAAACTACTGTATGGCAATTCCCATTTAATTACCCACTTTTCCTCTTTCAGCTTTCATCCTTACGCCTAGGAAAATGTGTCTGCTTTCTGGATCAGTATTATTTAGCAAAAAATAGCCAAACAGGGACTGAGATGGATGTTTCTGAGCTGTGGTGATGCAGTGGTTAGAATGCAGTATTGCAGGCTAACTCTACCCACTGCCAGGAGTTCACTCCTGAACAGCTCAAGGTTGATTCAGCTTTCCATCCTTCTGAGGTTGGTAAAATGAGGACCCAGGTTGTTGGGGGCAATATGCTGCCTTAGGCAACCAGGGAAGATCTTCCTTATTTTATTTCTGACTGATGATTTTAGAATGGCACCTCAGTGTTGTTTTCCAAGAACCTGTTTGTGAGTTCCTCTCTTTAATCTTACAATATTGCTCAGGAAAAGTGACATTCATGTAAATTCTATTTCCTTCCACCATGATGGAGAAATGTAGCCATGGACCTGTGGCTTCTGTAGAAAACCTGACAGTTACTGCTCAGACATTTTTACTCAAAGGACATTTCCAGCACTGTATATCTTGAGCAGCTGTTTGAGGAAGAAGAAACAGGTTCTTGAATTATGTACGTGGAGACAAATTAGGGTAAAGGTTAGAGTTAGCTGCAAAATGGGAAGATGCTTGAGGTGTATTCTTACCCAGAACATAGATCTTGGTGCCACGCAGAAAGGAGGTGGCAGCATACCTAGGTGTAGGCATGGTTGCCAAGGACACCCAAATGTCTTTAAGCATATCATAATGTTGCATATAATTGTGAGGACGTAGATCTGCTCCCATTCCACCAGCTGCATAGATTCGGTAGTCTGGAACAGGAAGAGAAAAGGAAACAAAATTCCAACTATGAAATTGGGATATCTGAGCTATAATCCATGCATTTTAAATGTAAAATCAGAATAATCCCTGAATTGAAACACATTGTTATTATTATGTTCCACAGATCATATAGCCTGAGTACTGCTCTAAGGATAAAACTTCCACCAAGTTCTTTTGCTAGAAAGTTATTTATGACTTTAGTCCATTTAATAAGAGATGTTCACATGCAAAACAGCAATGATAAACTGCTAAATTCCAATAAATACTTCTTCTCTAAGCCATGTCTCTCCTGCAGTCAAGTTCCCATTTAAGCAGGTAAATGCTTGTTTGAGTAAAAGAAGGCCTTCATATTTCATAACAGCAATTTGATACTTTCCATTGCAAACACATATCTAAAATAATTCAAATATTCAAAAGCAGGTTGTAATGTGAGGGTAAAGATACTGAAGGGAAAAAAGATTGATGCTTGACTGCACACATACACCTTCCTATATAAATTCCTACTGAATGATCTTGGCACTCCATGCTTTGCAAAAACCTTCAACCTGTCACATGCACTAGAAAGCACTGATTTATCTGTCCTTTGGGAGCTATAAAAACTTCACCAAACCAAACAGAATAAACAACTTCTTCCATATTTGGCAGGAATACAAAACATGCTTGGCTGTGTGTGGGTTTAAAAAGAAGAAGAAGAAAAGGTCAGGCCACCTTCCAATTACAAAACAGACTTCACAGCGAGTTCTAGGCCAGATGGTTGAAAACCGCATAAACTCTACCAGAGCAATTCATTGATGGTTATTCCAACAATTCAGGTGAAAGGGTCAAAATCAGACAATACTGACTGGATAAAAGAAGTTGATAGCTTCTTGCTGACTAGACTAGGCCTCTGCATATGAGAAAAAAATCATTCATCCCACCAATTATAAACAGAAATATATCCAAGGACAAGGTACTGCCTTCAAAGCTAAAGTTGTTTCTACTACACACTTTATTTTTTTATTTTTTTAAAAAAAGTTTCTTGCCTTTTACTGACACAGAGATGCCCATCGAGGCTTCTCTCAAAGAGTTTCTTTTTTTCCACTTGCCCTCATCTATGTTGTACATCTCCACTATCTTCAAAGGCATCTGATGGGCTCCCACGCCTCCAATCACCATTATCCTCTTGCCCAGTGTAGCTACTGCTACCCCAGCCCTGGCTGTAGGCATCGGGGGCAGAGAATTCCATTGGTTTGCTTCTGGGGAATACACTTCAAAGCAGTCCATTGGCACACCATTGTCATCACAGCCCCCGATGGCAAACACCTGTCCACCAGCCTCTACCAGGGAAGAATAGACTCTTGGACTGGGCAAAGGTGCTAGAGTTTTCCACTGAAAGTCCTTGATGCTTGGCACTTCCATCTCAGGGACAGGGAAACATCTGCTTAGTAATCCATGTATACTGCAACAAAACATAAGAAATTTTCAGCAAACGAGATGTTCAAACATAGAGAGGCAGATTTCTAGTGGCTTGAGAATTTCATGGATGCATCTCTCTGTCCTATGGCTAACTTTTCTATGACTTTTCTACCATCTCTAGCCTTTTTTTTGTTGTTTATTCAATCACTTCCAATTCTTGGAGACTGCCTAGAAAACTCTCAGCAGCTTTCTTGGCAAGTTGTTTTGTTGCTATTGTCTTCTTCCTAGAGCTGAGACAAGTGACTGAATCAAGGTCACATAACTGGCTTTGTACCTAAGGCAGAGCTAGAAACGATGGTCTCCCAATTTCTAGTCTGATGCCTTAACCACTGCACCAAACTGGTTCTGTAGCTGATCTGTAGCCCATCAAATACTAATGGAGGGCTTAAAGTCAAGAGGAGATTGTCCCCTTTGTTCTATAGATATATAAATAACTCTCATACCTTTTATTGGGTCTTCTCAGTTAATCCTCCATTTCTTTGTCTGCTGGGTATTGAATCTAAATAATAAGATAAGTTAAATTTATTCCTTTTGTTCTTGCACCCCCAAAATTCCATGCAGATCAGAGCCTCTATCCAGCTTTGAAGATTTTCCTCCGGTCAACTTTGCTTCTTTCTTGGGTCTCTCCTTTGAAGCCCCTTTTTCTTGTCTTCCTGGTTCATTCACACCCACTTCATCTCTCATAAATTGTTGCTGCCTCATGCAGCACAGCACTGAGCTGTGAGCACCAGGAAACAGCGCACTAATTAGGGCACAGTCAAAACTGCAAACTCCTATTACAAGCAAAGGGATTATTTTTGCTGTCTTGCTCTGAACAGCTGACAAGTATGTAAATGAGGTTAGGGAGAAATGGACCCAGCTGCTTATGCTTACAGCGAGCAGCAGCTGCTCCAGTGTCCCCTTGTGAGCATAAGCAGGCTCAGGCTGAATGCTTTATTTCCAGACAGGATTTTTTTTTCTTTGGGATGGAAGAAATTAAGTAAGCTTAAAGACATAAGCAAATATATGTGTGTAACTGAGGTCCCCACCAAGTTGGCATGCAACTGTTCTTGCAGGTAAGATAAAGGAAAAGCTTCATGCATGTAATCCAGAAAATGAGTAAGCAGAACAGAAATTTAAATAGATCATGGAAAAACAAGAATGGCAGGAAGGCATTTTTTAAAAGACAACCCTGTGAGTCTATGACATGGGTGTCAAACTCGCCATGTCATGTGACATGGCGCGACATATTGTGACTTTTTTTCACATTGCTGGAGCTGGGGTGGGTGTGGCTTCTGCATGATGCAACCGGCCGGCAGTTTGACACCCCTGGTCTATGACAATAATACCTAATCCCCGGCCTCTTAGATAGCACATTTATTATTCCATACGCTCATGAAGCAGAGTTCATTTCATTAAATGAAGTAGATTGATTTATACCATTGGCCCAGATTATATATTGCTCTGTATCACACAATGGTTTATAAAAAAGCAATAAAATGCCATCAGACTTTTCATGTTTTCAAAAATGAGAAGATAAATTGGCATTTGCTTGATAGTTTTTGTTGATGCTAACACATGAATTAGTCTAGTGCTCCTATTCTTGTTTTGCAAAGAGAATAGTATATCACTGTAAAACTAATTGCAGGATGAATTGAAAAATTCATTTTAATTTCCAGTTATTTTCTGATTAAAGCGTGTTTTCCCTATTGGCCATGCCCACCAAGGCAACCATTTTACAAGAACTTCCATAATATGATCCCAATATGTGCTATTGTGCCAACTAATGTGCCTACTGGCTCCAAATACTCATTTGACCTTGTTTTATGGCGAACAGTTTATTTTAAATGGATCTAACAACTTGGGCAGAAATCTGGCCTTAAGCAGTAATATTCTGTTTATAGACTATGTATAAGATTTTGGGAGAAAAACAATTATTTTCAAATTTGTTTGCCTGCTTTTTAAATTCAATTACTGTATAATAAAAGCTCAAACTCCTATTCAGCAAACTTCAAATGAATGGATAAAATATGAGTGGAAATTTCAGTCCCAAATAACACACCAAGTCTGTTGTTTCCAAAGCAGTTCAAACAACTGATACCATTTAAGTCCTTTCTGCCAATCAGATAAATAATGTGAAATACAAAATTATGTAAATTGTGCTAATATCAATTATGTCAGCTTGACTGGACATTTGCTTTAATAGATATCCTTTTTCCTCACATGCAGAAGAGATCCTTCTTACAAGTAGAATAGATGGCATTACTAAATATTAACTTCCTCAGATAACAAAATTCATTTAGACTGGTCTGTGGGACTTTGACAATTTTAGTATGATAAAATCTATAATTAAACATTTAAATAAAATTCATAGATAAATTAATTGGGCTTTGTTGCTATCATCATCCACTATTTGGCTTGGCTTATTTGATTTCTGAATTTATATTCCACCTCTTCCTCCTGAAAAAAAAAACTCAAAAAAGCTCACAAATATAGATATATAATAACATTGTATATATTATCACTTTGCAATTAATTATTCCTAAAATGTAATTCATATAATAAAAGGACATATTTTCCCCACTTTCCCCTTCCAAATATCTCTCTTATACCAAAATATAATGGGAATATTATTACTTTTTTCTTGCTAGAGAAGAACCTCTATCAGCACTTCCTCACCTGTTGTGACCCTGAATAAGTAAACACAATCCCAGTTTTAAGCCTTGCGGTATTTTCAGGACTCAGAACACATCCTTAACTGATAGCCAGTGGCAAACTGATGGAAACACCATTCCCCAGTGTTCCCCATCCAAATAGTAACTAGACCCAAATTACTTTAGTTTTAAATACTAGTGTGTGTAACTTTCTCTCCTAACCATGCATCTCCTGCAAAGTATCCTCCCAGTGGCCCAGCAAGATCCAGGTATAAATTAACATTCTTAACCAAGCACCTAGAATATATTTATCCCAATGATAAAGTCAGAGAATAACACAGAACAGAGCAAAGGCCTATATTAAAAGTGTTAACTATATGTACATACATATGAATTATGAATTTGACGGTCAGTGTTCTTAACTTTGAAATATTAGTGGGGCTTTTCCCCTTTGCAGGGTACTCATTTGCCTGTAATGCAATAACTGGGATTTTCAACCCAAACAAAATAAAATAAAATAAAATGGCTAGGGAAGAAGGCCAGTTCAGTTGTCAAATTCATTTGTTCTTAATGAAAAAAAAAATCAAATAACATAGTGTTCATATAAAAACATGTCCAAGGTGTTTGTCTGTTGTTAGATCAAAGGTTTGAACAAGCCAAGCTTGTCTGGCTTTAGTGGGATGATTTGGCTGGGTTGGTACTTAGATGGGGAACAGAGTTATAGGATAGGACAAAAATTATTCCAAAACTGGTCCCATGCTGTGGTGAAGAAAACACATCAAAACATCCATGAAATCACTTGAAATCAAACTCAAAGGAGTTTCCTTTTTAATTTATAAGAGGAAAACAAAATAATGGCAGTGAAAATAAGAGGAAAAATCAAATTTTAAACAGTGTATCATTCTGAAGTGTAAAAACCAAACCCAGTGATCATTCACAGTGCATTTATAAGGAACCTTTCATTGCTGAATTAATTAACACCTACAGTGGAATTAAAAATACGTCTCTAGGTTGAAGCCTCAAATAACAGAATTAAACACTTGGCAAGTTACAACTCAGCTTTTCTCCATTTTTTTTTTAAAGAGCTGAAACAGAATGTCATGGGAAGGTTGACATTTCCTCCTGCTTGCCTCTAAGTATTGCTTCTGATGTTAATTTTGTGACCATTTATTCTTTTGCATAAGGATTTATCTATCTGCACTATATAATATTATCTTACTCTGGTGTAACCTCTTTGTCTGGTAAACATATGGGGAAGTAACAATAGAACAATGTATTTAAGTACATAATTTGCATGCAAAAGATCATAAAATATATTTATAGTTTTTAAATATCAGGTATAAAGATAGCTCTTGCCAGCTAGAACTCAAACTACTCAGTATGGCAATTCAGGTCAATCTATCCTGTATCTGGAGCCACTTCACAAGAAGCCAGGTGCAGGCTCATAAGATTTGCTAGTCAGGCGTCATTCACAACCAAGGTCTGTTTCCATGGTTAGGAATAATTTATTCCTATTTTGCTCTTTGACATTCTTTCAATACTGAATATAAACAGATTATTTAATTCTTGCTATAATTTATTTGAATATCTTAAAGATGCAATGCCATTGGCTTTTTTTTTTCATGACCACCAACAACATTCCTAGCCTGGTGTTTTCTGCCTCTTTCTCTCACATCTCTTGAAAGCACTGCAGTACACTTTCTGCAAAGATTGTACTTTGCCTGAAATCGCCCTTAGAGAAAATTCACCCTGGGTAGCAAATGTTTTTTTTAAAAAATGCTGTAAGATACTCCATCCCAACTGCATATCCAATGCATATCTGTCTTGGCATGTAAACTTAGCTTCGCATGCTTAAATGCAATTTCCTCAGTTATAGCATGCATAGCTATACTCCTGAATGTTTAAAATACAGAATGACTTTTGACAAATCAAGGATACAGCTTGCCAAATTGAGTCACATTTTTCTTCTCAGTAACTACTGAGGAATATTAGATGAATTGCTGATAACTTCTATGATTAAATTAATCTAAGATCTCATGAAAGTTGTGCACCGAAAAAGATCAAAGGCAAAGAAGAAGAAAAATGCAAAAATAACAGCATAGAGTTTGTGTTTGTTGCTTCCAAATAGCCTTTTTCTGTATAATATTGAAGAGCCAGCTGTATGTTCTTGTGAAATGAGACCTTTTGCAAAAGAAAAAGACAGCAAGTTGAACTCCAAAATCTCCCTGTCATTCTCTCATTTGTCCCCTTTAATCCCTCCAACTGCATTTATGGATTGTTACTCACATCTGTGCTCTGTGATCTCTGGAGGCTGCAGTCCTTTATAAGTGGGAAGTAAATCCAAAAGTGATGCAGATTATATGTTGGTAGAGGAAAATGTGCCAAAAAGAATTCTCCAGCTGAATAAATCCAACCCTTTGGTTTTGCTCTGGAATACAGTCATATGCAAAAATATTCCCAAAGACTGAGATGACCTGTATTTTCTCAATGCCTAAGCTAGAATCAACTAAAAAAGAGGGAGGGAGTGAAGGAGAAAGCAAGGAAAACACACACACTCACACCGAATTACAAGAGCCAGAATAAGCCTTTTATGGCTCCCATGCGTGCATAGGAAGTTTTCCAGCAGGCTCTTGCGTGGCAAATTGCAAGGAGGAGGGGTTACTCCATTTGGAATGCAAGGCAGGGTTGGGTGAAAATGGAAGAAATGCTGATGAAAAAATCACAAGGAGCTTTCAAACCATGAGAAGTTCTGTTCAGCCTTAGAATAAATATGTACAAATCCAGTTATAGCTGTAATAGCAGCTTAGACCAATTACTTGTGTACAATTCAATCAGTTCCCAAGATTAAAATGTATTATACTAGAAGTATTCTGCAATTATTTTA